TTTAACCACCCTCCCAGGAGTACAGTAAGGTCCCATTGCAGTGCAGCGTATCTGCCTCAGCGGTTATAATATCCGCTCAGAGCAGGTAGACTAAAAGGGGTTACCCCACGCCTACCCTTCGCCGACCAAGTCACGAGGGCCAAAAAAAACTCCCACGCTGACCATATTTGAGGGAAATTATCTATATTATGACAATCTCACACCTAGAAAACATCGGTGAGAAAGTTTCCCGTCGGTGGGAACGGTCAAATCGAATTCCCATAGAAAATTCGACATGACCCAGTCACCGGTAGTCGTACAGACCGCCCGAGATCAAGAAGATGTCTCGCGACTGCTTTCGTGACCTATATAAGAATCAAAATGGTTTCACTTGCATAGGCGGCGGAACGGGGAGGGCACCGGGGCACCGTGCCCCCCTTTGATTTTGGCATTTTAACATTAGCCCTATGGGCGTTGCATGGAAAGAATGGGACCAAAAGTCGGCGGTGCCCCCCCCCCTTAATTGAAGGTGTTCCGCCGCTACTGTTCACTTGGTAGTTTCGGAAGAAAAGGCGTTGCCAATCGTCCCGTGATGAATATTGCAGAGGTTTTTAAAGATACACCCTAACAATCGTACTTTCGCCCCCACTTGAAACCGCCAAACAATGTGCCAATATATCATTGGTGCAAAAAAAAGTTGAAAAATTGCTGTAATTCAAAACTGTATGAGACAACGCCATCTAGTTGTGCCAGTAGATCCAACTCCTTCAGTCCAGGTTATGTAAAGGTTCGCCATCCACGGATACTCGTTTACGATATCTCGAGTAGTTCCAACTCTTTCAGTGAGGGCAATGCCAATGACTCGACACCCGCGGGGACAATATCCGGTGCTGAGTAGCTACCTTACTTCAGACTGTGGGTACGGTGCATATTACGAGTAATAAGGCAGGCAAGTCTGCTTACCCTCTAGCTAGAATCTGGACATGGCGAGTTAATACACATATACCACCCGCAGAGCAACGCTTAATTCGCCAGCTTCGGGTAAAATTGTTTTCAGTGTGGTTTAAAAAGTGTTCGTTAGTTTAAAAAAATGTAACCATCTTATTTATCGAAGATAGTGCAATAAGCGTTGATGTAGGAAGATTTGATATTTATGTGGCGAGAGTAAAATAAAACCGGAATTGCAGTAAAATTAATTTTCGGTATTATGCGCATCTCCTGTCGGCAAATAAGGATATCCATCGTCTGCGCGTTTGTTAGTTACTGAGGTTACTGAGGTTGTTGGCAGTCGGACTGTGGAGAGCTCAGTCAGGAGGCCATCAGGCCGTGTTCACTCTTTTATTCTGTATTTTCTACCAAGGTTCAGTTGTTCCATGGAGTACCGTAAGGCTTTGTGCCGAAGTTTCATGTCGATCTGATCAAAGCCGTCCAGCCATCACACATTTTGTCGGCAACAAACAAGCTATTTTCATTGGCTCTTTACTTTTGTTCTGACCTATGATCTTACCTTCCAGTATGCTTTGGTGCATTGGACGTGTTGAGTTTGTTAAAATCTAATGGCGTATTTTTATTGAATAATGGAAAATGCATAAAGCATACTGCATATTTCTTTTTTTGGGGGGAATAGTCCGTCGTAGGGGCTAAGCTATGGGCAGAGGACATTTTCCATCATTGAATGGATGACGGCCTTCACCCAAATGTGCGTACTAACGCACCCACATTCGATACCAATAAAGTTGCCGCAGCCTTGCCCGCAGCTGATAAATGTCTCGCTATTCGCTTTCCTCGCACACAGGCTGCCCGGTGTCTCGACATTTCCGGCTCTTCGGCCGGTCGTTATTTGCCCGTCTTTAGAGCTGGCCGATGTGGCCGGTGGCTTCGATTATTTGCGGCATTCATTGTGGGACGGAAGGGACAAATGTGCCGTCTGAGTGAGATCAATGACGGTGAGCCAGACAGCTTAGGGCGCTACTGGGCATGTGAGCCGGCGTTTAGGGGAGCATGCCGGCGCAAAGTGCGCCCGAAAGTGCGTCCTGCACAGGATCCCCTGTGGTTATGTTTTACTTGCAAATAACAAATAGTTATGGAGGTAAGGAAGGCAAAATATGTACTGATCGGAATTCTGGCTCAGCAATCAGCATACACGATTGACAAGGGCTTGTTGCTTCGACAGAACAAAGCGTATCATTGCCTATTTTTTTTTTCAATTTTCAATGCAAATAACCCTGTCTATTTCTTGAGGACGTTACTCTGTGACAAGACAGATGAAATAGAACGATATTTCAATGTTACATAACCAAGTTGGTATCGTCAGTACATGCTCACCTGCGGAAATGCACTAAATCTGTGATCCACTTTCGTGGATATGTTGAAGGCTATTTTTATTGTGATGGTATTCTCATGTGTTTGACAATTATTACATCGGATAAAACAATTATCTTGTATCGTTACGACGTTGAATCATTGACATGGAATTTTCTTTATAGGGAACGACCCGCTTTAAAACCTCTCCCTCTCTCTCTCTCTCTCTCTCTCTCTCTCTCTCTCTCTCTCTCTCTCTCTCTCTCTCTCTCTCTCTCTCTCTCTCTCTCTCTCTCTCTCTCTCTCTCTCTCTGTCTCTCACACTTTTCTTCATTATCCACTTCCTTCTCCTTTTTCTACACCAATGGTGTCGGTGGCCATCGGCGGGCAGTCGCCGGTAACTTGTCCGCTCCCTGGTGGGTTCACTGTTGCCACCGGCGCCTCCCGTTCTGATACAATTACTTCGGACGGCGCCACCGTCAGCCCGTGGGGGCACGCTGATTCGACACCAGGGAGGAAGGAGAAGGCACAGAGCGTGACCAGGGCGGAGAAGGGGGATGGGTGGATAGATGACACGAAGTGAGCGCGGACGGGGCACTGGCGATGATTGTCACACAGGCATTGTGACACAGTGGATGTTGGTTTTGCGTGCACTCCGATTATCGTGGTGATCGACGATCGTGACCGCCATGGTTGTGATCGTGAATTCCCGATGTCAGTGCATCGGGAAGAAAACAGTAATTGAGAATCAATGAAGAAAACAGTAATTGAGTCAAACAATATCCGTTGATATTTCGTTTGAGGGCCAATAAGAAGGAGAGGTTTTAAATGTTATAAAGGGGTGAGTGAGCATGATACTAGCAGAGAAACTTTCCATGGCTAACTATGAAAATATATTTTCAAAATGTCTGTACTTTTCGTCAACCGCGCTGTTACTTTCTCAACGCTCGGTCATCACATCTCCGTGTCTCTGCGGGGTACTTACTCGACATAGCGCTATCCGTGAGCCTTGCCGAAGCGCTATAGCGGCGTTGCGTGAGAGAAATAATGTCATCGGGCCGTTGTATCCGACATTTGTCCGGCGCACCGGCAGTCGACATCGATCGGCGACACCTCCGGCCGGCGCCAGCAGCGGCCCGGTGCGGCGCGGCGAGCCGACTCGGTGTGAAGTGAGCTGTCCGCGGTGGAGCTTGTGAGTCTGCAGTGGAACGGGACCCATGAGCTTAAAGGGACCCTCCCACCTTAACATTAGTTTTGAGTTGAGATAGCCAAGTTTGCGGCCAGGCTCAGAAACCACCATTTATCCTGGTCGCAACCCCCGCAGCTTTATGCATGTGTTCAAGAAATTTCTTCCCTTTACTTGCAGGGTGGGACCAGCGTGGTCCCTATCTCTTAACCATTACGGGAATCTGATGACGTCATCAGGCTTTCGAACGTCCGTAAACGTTTGACTAAAACGTTTTGTAGCACGCGGTGGTATATGCTTCGTTGCGCGCAACAAATGCCGCACTTTTAAATAAACTCGCTAGGAACAGCGGAGATCCCAAAAAGTAAACAAAAGTAAAAGTCTAATATCTTGAAAACCGGTGAATATTTTTCGATGAAATTTGGTAGATATTCGTTTTCGCTCTTTCTGAACCGAGCGACATCACTTTCATGCCAATTCATAACCTTTTTTGAAGGTGGGAGGGTCCCTTTAAAGGGTCAGGAGGTCTGTGAACTTGTGGACTATTGGGGTCCGTGAGCAGAAAGAGTTCCGCTAACTGAGAAGTGAACAGCCTGAGAAATCAGAGAGCTGAGGGGCCCTGTGTCTCTGTGACAGCGTAGCTCCGTAAACTGAACAGCTATAGCGCCGTCCCTGTTCCGAACTGGAAGATTGAATGCCTTTGCAACTTCCCAGTACCATCACAGGCGAGAACTGTGTTGCCAGCGCGGCGATGCCTTGACCCCGACACCCGGCGGGAATTCTGCTTCCTCACCACCGGGAGACAAATGTGGCGCCGTTGGGTTGTCGATACGGCGGCGGTTGTGGCGCGGGGAAGGCTCATTGTCTGTGCCGCCGCCGTGGGGAGGTTCCATAATCGTCGTCGAGCGGTGCCGATTGGTACCGGTCGGTCGTGGAGCGCAAATAAGGCTATTTATCAGCGATAAACAGGTGGTCGACCGGTGGATGGTACCCTCCATGTGACAACTGTCCTCCAGGGAGCTTTATTGGACCAACCAATGCCCTGTCATCGTGGTCTGAGTGGTACTTTGCAAAGTGCTCGTCCTTAACCAGCTGGTTTTGTTGTTCTGGCGTTTGGTTTATGCGCTTAATGGCGGATAATGCATATTTGATTAAATCAGAATTGCAGCATAATTGGTCAGAATTACAACATATACTGTTATTGCGCTTGAGCGCAAGCCTCTGCGTTCTACATATTACCACTTGCATCCTTCCTTTCATTCACAGCTTGATATTCAGTACTCCTATGCAATATGCATACCTACTCCTTGAACTGCTTGTAATTCATTATCGCATTCAGCTTCAGGCATTTCCTTTCATCGCCCTCCATGCTCCTAGTCGAGCTGCTTGTTACGAGAACCGTATTTGGGAAACTTGACAATTGACTTGATATCACCCGGAATCGTCGTGAGGCACGTATTCACTTACGAGTAGGTATATGTTACGCTACCGTATCCTGTTCGCTGTGCCTTGGACCACTCCTGCAGGAATGTACTAACGCGCTGGCCCCGTTTCAGAACCGTACCGGTACGGCGCGGACCCGGAGTATGGAGAGGAGTACCAGGACGAGATCAACCCGGCAGAGGTCATCATGACCAGGGTGAGATATATGGGTGTCCGTCAAACCAGCCCAGATTCAGACCGAAATCAGTCCAGAAACAGCTCAGATTCAGCATTATTTCAGCTCAGATCCAGCCCAGAAGCACTCCAGATGCAGCCCAGATGTATAGCCTAGAATCACCCCAGATTCGGGGCGGATTCAGCTAAGATTTTCATTTTAGCAGCCGTAATCGCCACGCCATATGTGGAAGGCTATTGATGTCAATAGGCACATGCATACATACATGCATAAGATTCAGACCAGATTCAGCTCAGAATCAGCACAGATTCATCTCAGGCTCAGCCAGGGTCCAGACCAGATTCGGGATACCTCCGATCAACTTGGAACTTGCACACGAATATGGGCTGTTTTGAACAACATATGAGATAAGGCGTGAGACCGCAACATGACCTATCTGCGAATGCGATCCCCGTATCGGCAAAACGCGTATCGTATGTAACATATGACTGGTATTTGATAATGTAAAGGTGGGACGGTCGGTTTCTTCAGAAATGTGTGTCAAGTAGAATTCATGGAAATCTCGGGAGATATCCCCCCCCAAACAAATTTATTTTATATTCGAGTGTAGAGCATTGTGTGGCCTTTACACAACGTTTCCTTTGTTATTTTTCATAGATACAGTTCCAATTCAAATATGGGTCTGGCATGACGCATCAAATATTTCACTTTCAATTTCCTGGCTCATATCTCGATCCGCTGGGAGTTATGTAAACGTACGCGTAGCCGCGCTGTTGATGAGGTGCATGCAATAAACATGCCAGAGGCTAAGATGAAGAGGAATACATATCAAGCGCTAAGTCTATGATGGACGCAGATGAGCCATAAATTTGTTATTTATGCAGTGTGCGGGTGAAAGTAGAAAATATTGCTGATTTTATCAAAAATTCATGCTCAATAAAGATAGGCATGTAGCGGTAAATACATAAGATCCACATGTAAAGATATCCATTGTAAAATTATGCTGCCACTTTTTAGTATATGCAGTGTACATGCGTTATACGAATAATATCAACGGAAAAGTTCAACTGCACACACAACCCGCATCATTCGGACGGGAATTTTCGGAGAATCCTGCTCAATCAGTGTTGTTCGGTGAAGTTAACGGATTGTTAGAGGAAAAGACGCCGTTCATTTTAGCAGCGACCGTCCGCGCACTCATTTTGCATTTCGTTAAAACGGCAAAATCATTGATTATATCATGATTATAATCGTTCTTGTTTTGTGTTGCGAACTTGTGACAAGTGAGTTTGTGTTTACGGAAATGAAACCCTGACGGCTTCATTCCATGTATCGATTCACCATTTGCTATTAAAATTTCCGCTGTCGGCGCGGTCCCCGGAGAATATGTTTGAATAGCTGGCTTATCGAGCTTGAGCCGGCGTGCCACATTGCCCCAACAGACGGTAAATAACTTTTGAAAATACCAATTTCCAATTTTAGTGTTTTCTGGACCAAAATTTTGCGAGGAATCCGATGGTGTGGTCCCCGAAATCTGAAAAATTTCCATTTTGGAGATAGCACCTATTTTTTGAAAAATAAATATTCGTCAGGCTTAATAGTCAAATAAATTGGAAATATAATGAGTTAATTTTTGTAACAACACTGGAATGTGTCGAACATGAATTAGAGATATATTTTAGCTGAGATGATACTATATCTGCGCATACATGTACATGAACTAGTACATTAACCCTCGCCGGCCGAGAAGGGGTGGGGCGGGTGCCGCCTAATAGGGCTTTTCGCGATAGCTTAAAACTCGCTTGGGGTAGACAGCTGAAACTTGGCATACCTAATCTTTTATTCAAGCTGGATCTTTTGACCTTAACTGCGTTTTCAGGTCAGGTCAGGTCACTGACCTATGACGTCATAAATGAGCCTCTGCGAGGTCCTCAGATGTTGCAACTTTGCAACGCCCTCAGTGCCAGAGGAACTTTCACAGGAAGATGAAACTTACAGGACGTAGTATCCTTCAGAGGTCTCACAACTTGTATATCTCGGATTTAACCTAAATGTCACATGAGGTCAGGTCGGTCACGTGACCTCACCATTATAAGTCAATGGGGGAACTATGAAAACTGTTATTTTGGCGCCGGAAATGATCTAAAACTGTCCCAAGCACATGAAATCGTGGTTTCATGTACTCTTTGTAAGGTCCGATCATGAAACCACGATTTCATGTGCTTGGGATAGTTTTAGATCATTACCGGCGCCAAAATAACAGTTTTCGTATTTCCCCCATTGACTTATAGTGGTGAGGTCACGTGACCGACCTGACCTCATGTGACATTTAGGTTAAATCCGAGATATACAAGTTGTAAGACCTCTGAAGGATACTACGTCCTGTAAGTTTTATCTTCCTGTGAAAGTTCCTCTGGCACTGAGGGCGTTGCAAAGTTGCAACATCTTAGGGGCCTCGCAGAGGCTCATTTATGACGTCATAGGTCAGTGACCTGACCTGACCTAAAAACGCAGTTGAGGTCAAAAGATCCAGCTTGAATAAAAGATTAGGTATGCCAAGTTTCAGCTGTCTACCCTAAGCGAGTTTTAAGCTATCGCGAAAAGCCCTATTAGGCGGCACCCGCCCCACCCCTTCTCGGCCGACGAGGGTTAATGTACTAGTTCATGTACATGTATGCGCAGATATAGTATCATCTCAGCTAAAATGTATCTCTAATTCATGCTCGACAGATTCTAGTGTTGTTACAAAAATTAACTCATTATATTTCCAATTTATTTGACTATTAAGCCTGACGAATATTTATTTTTCAAAAAATAGGTGCTATCTCCAAAATGGAAATTTTTCAGATTTCGGGGACCACACCATCGGATTCCTCGCATAATTTTGGTCCAGAAAACATTAAAATTGGAAATTGGTATTTTCAAAAGTTATTTACCATCTGTTGGGGCAATGTGGTGCGGCGGGGTTTTCTGTGACACGCCAGTCACAGCCTGAGGCCGACCGAAGCGGAACACTCGCGTGAAACCTAACCCCGGCTCCAGTCCAGTCGGCGTGCCGTGAAACAGGAGCCGCTTCTCGGTGTCTGATTAGCCGGCCGCCGAGTGTCACTACCACTCACACGCTGATTAGCCCGTGTTCCGGCAACCAAGCCATGTCGGAGGGCCCTTGAAGTAGTGATGGGCGGCCCAAGATGTTGGCTTTTTATTGGTCATTTTGCTGAGTGCTCATATGACATGTGTGGATGTTACTTGGCACGTCGGGCTGGGTTAGAGTGGCATGTATGTAATATGCCGGATTTTAGCGGCGGGTCGCATATGGATCGACTGCTTCGTTGTGTGAATTGCTTATTTGGTCCATTAACGCTGAAATAATATATAAGTGTTAGAAGTTCGCACACACTTCCGAGGCTGGTTATACCGCCGGTGTTATAAAAAAACTTAACTACTTAACGGTCTGGTCCATAAATAGCCCTGATTGCATTACATTTTTGAAAAAACATAAGCACAGCTCACAGCGCAGTCGCTTCCCGAACTCCAGTTCCTGCCAACTTAATGTTTTGCCTAAACCAAAAAGGCGTCATACCTATGTCCTGAAAACAGTTTTTTTCAGATTCCTAAGCTTCTATACCCGTGCCTTTACAGGTAAGGAAGGGTCCCGGCAACTGCTACGCCCGAGGAAAGTGCGTCTACTACAGCAAGCGGCTCAAGACGGAGTTTTGCGGCGATTGTCACCGCCGCTCGGGCTGTTTTCCAGGTAGGTCCGCGGCCGGGGCTCCCCCTGCTTCTGGTCAGTTTATCCCGGGTCTGCCACTCCGGCGATTTGCCCGCTAAGTTCAGCTGAAAGTCCACCGCACCAGCTGCTTCCTTGGTTAGTTAGACTGAAGGTCCGCAACGCTGATCGATTATTCGGTATGATTAGATCGAGTCGGACACCTTGACATGGAAAGTTTCGTGACTTAAGCGCCAACCCATTGCCCTTTCCCAGTATGGACTAATTAATTTTCGCCCTTTTAGCTGCTCCTGGTGGTGGTGGTAATTCAAATATGTTTCATACACCCTGATATAGAATACACTTATCTGATACTAGAAATAAAACATTTGCAGTTAAATAGTTGAAAGATTATTTAATTCCTCCTAAAATATTGTCCTGCTGAGCTGTATGGCCATTGGTCCTCGACCTTGTCCCCGACACTACGACATTCCTAATGCCGATCGACGCGACACGCGGGTGGTCGGCGCTACAGCGATATAACGATTCAATCATGCATTTATTACGCCTGAATGGTGGTCCCACCTGACAGCAAGGTGATTGCAGCATTTCACATTGATGTAAACATTGTGCGATGCGGCAGGTTTCCATTCCAGCTGTAAGAACATGTCCTGGTTTCTGCTTGCATTAAACATTGCTGGAGATTGATATTGACGGGGACTGTTACATGTGACGGTCCCCGTGGATATCGCTGAGGGGACTAGGATAATAATTTATAGCGCTGTCCTGTCTTGCAACATCAAGTTTGTTAGCTAGGTCTGTAGCGTTGGTATGACGATTAGACTAAGTGGAAGACAATCTTTGAGGTAAATCAAATTGATGTGAGCCCTCCATTTCAGTAGCCATTTTGTGTTATCTTTTGAATTCATTCTCACTTCCGTGAGTAAGTAGTACCTAAAGTAGTGCCTACGTCATATTGTCTACGTCACGGAGTACTGACGCCATGACGGCTGAAGTTTAATCCGGTCGTTTTAATAGCTTTTGAGAATTGATTAGGATTAATATGCTGACGATGCATGGAAAATAATCTGAAAGTAGATAGCATACACTTTGTGTAAAATAATTTCAGCTGATTTAAACTTTTTTAGGCAGAGACGTCTGCGTTCAAGAGTTCGTATAGTCGATTCCCTTATGCGAAGAAGCAAGCCCAATAGAATAAGAAATGCCCACCGTGGGTATATTCAGTTCCATCTCTGTGAATGGCATGCGGAATACCGTTTCTTAGACCCAGGTTACGTTTGTTATTTAAAGTAACTTCCTCTTGGTAACTGCAAGTACAAGCTGAATTAACTAACCTAATATATCGCTGACTAGTTCTAAGGCATAGTCCCATCGGGCAAACCAATCACACTGACCTCGTGTGGTTGAACGTTATAATCTATGCCATAGTTCATGCCCATGGTATATCCTGCTTAATGATTCTCGTTTGTATCCTATGTAGCATGACAACGATGCCTGTTGCTTTGGGCAAGCAACAATTTGCATTTACGATCGCCATACAGTGCTGCCATTAGGTTTCTGAGCGAATCACCATGGCAGAATGTTCACCAACAGATGGTGTGTCTGGTATCTATGCTGTCCAGTCCATAGGTGCATAGATGTGTGTTTTTCTAACTTTGATGGCACACATAAGACCCCGACCATCGGTACCCACAGTGGCCGGCGGTGGTCTCGGTCCCTGACCTCTGAGCCGCTCAGGTCTGCTGACCGAGTGGCCAGGCTCGGTCCATGAACCTCTGAGCCGCTCAGGTCTGCTGTCTGCTTTCCGTCGGCCGATTGTGGCGGTGGTCTCGGTCGCTGACCCTCTGAGTCGCTCAGGTCTGCTGAGCGAGTGGCGTGGCTCGGTCCATGAACCTCTGAGCCGCTCAGGTCCGCTGACCGAGTGGCGTGGCTCGGTCGCTGACCCTCTGAGCCGCTCAGGTCCGCTGACCGACTGGCGTGGCTCGCGCGCGGCACGCCGGAAATGACCCCGTGCCTGCATAAATAATGCCGGCTGGTGTCGGCGTCGGCACGCCAACGGCACTGAGTTACCGTGGACCGGGGTCAGGCAGAGAATGGGGTGAGACTGGAAAGGAAGGGACGGTTCCAGGTCGGTCGCCCTACCCGGTGGTTCCTTACAAATTTCCGAACAGCTTCTGGCTAATCCTCGGGCAGTATACTTAAGAGGATTTCCGAAACAATCAGTAGCGGCGGCACTCATCCAGATATACAGAAAGTCATCGGGTTGTTATCATTTTTCCTCAGACAATCTTCCACTATCCCTCGGCGGTCCGCCACCCACCTGACAGTCCCCAGCCTGTCCACGAAACTGCATTCAACTAATCCTCGGGCAGTTTTCAGTGAGTCGTCGTGTAGTTCTCAGCCGGGTGGTCCCCGGGACTGCCCCCGAGCAGTTGCCATCACCCGGGCCAATCGGCGGGGCTGTGCATCCAGTTGCCGAACCATAGCTCCTTCATCACTTTGTGAGACTGACCAGTCCCCAGGAGGTAACTATGCCACCGGGCCACTCAAATGACGTTAATTTTCCAGATGGGACCCCATGCAGCGAATGAACGATCAACCCAGTGTTCCACTGAGGCCGGCCGTGGCGTGCTGTCGTATTATGTGATTTAGAGCCAGTGCTGGTACTGCAAGCTGCAAGGAGCCATTAGTGCACAGCTAGAGGTTGATTGCTCGAATGTGGATCGGAACAAAACGATGAAAATGAATTTTCAGATAAACAATAAATTGGTGGGTAGAGGTAAATGAGGAGAAAAGAAATATTGATAATATCCGTACGGGATGTGACAATGGTGCAAAGTGCCCCAACTCAGCCATATCAGGTGAGTAAAGAAGCCATATTTTCAAGCCGCCGCCCTCCGGTGCCGTCTGAGAAGTGATGCTGCCATTTTCCGTCGGCCGATGGTGCCATCCTTTAGTGGGGTGATCGGGTCCACGGACCGGGCCCGCGCCGCCAGCCGCGCCTCTGTCCGACCAATCTAGGCTCGGTCCCGGGCCGTTCGCCGGCTCCGAATGACCGTTCAGCGGGGCAGATCGCGTCGTTTGGCGGCTCGACACTGTCCTCCTGAGCCTTGTGGGTGACGTCACCGGTGTCATGGATGACGTCATGGGTGTCATTAACAGCCACCGCCTGAGGTGCTGGCGTTCTGGCGTTGACCTTCGGCACCGAGAAGGGCGCTTGGCTTTCGATTTGTCTCGCATCGAACGCGTTGTGAATGCAATTGCGGTGAATGATGATTTAAGCTGGGTAACATTAATTGTTCCTTCGCTTTGAAGTTTTATCGATTCTTCAAACCGATAGATGCTTTTAAGATATGCTTGTCTCTTGTGCCGGGGACGAGATCGTTCCCTCGGCCTCGGCTGCCCTAAAGAAAACAGTCTTCGATTACGATTACTTACAAAAGGGTGAGTGCTCAATTCAGCACTTGGTCCGACAGTCGATGGTGTTTGGTCAACAAACCAACCACCTTGTCTCCTGATCAGCGGCGCTGACGGAGCAGGGAGGGGGTGGGGACGGACACAGGTGAACGGGGCTGCGCGGAGGGCTGAGGCAGCAGTGGCTGGGACCGGCACAATCAATGCGACTGCAACTGACACGGCCGAACCGAGCTGGCTGCGAGCTGAGCTGCTGGCTGCTCCCGGCGGTGCAGAGCTGGCTGTGGGCAGAGCTGCGGGCTGCGAGCAGAGCTGCTGGCTGCTCCCGGCGGTGCAGAGCTGGCTGTGGGCAGAGCTGCTGGCTGCGAGCTGAGCTGCTGGCTGCTCCCGGCGGCGGCGCAGAGCTGGCTGTGGGCAGAGCTCTGTCTCTCAGAGCTCCCAGCGGCAATAGCAGGCAAATGAGCGCCTCGATGTGCTGCTCCCGGCAGTGCAGAGCTCCGGCTGCCGCTCCCGGTAGAGCGGGGCTGACTGTGCAGGCAGAGCTCTTCAGAGCTCTCGACAGAGCTGAGCTCCCGGCAGTGTATGGTACAGCCACAGGGCGATAGATCGACGCGGCACATGTCTAGAACACGCGCGCCCCGCTGATTTTCCGAGCAGCGGAAGATCGCATACCTCCGACTTTCCGACATTTGCTGATTGACTGTTCAGACGCTCAATTCAATCAATCACTGGCCTCAGGTTAGGATTACTACCTTGTACTGGCTGTTACGAATTTAGTTTTCAGATGCAGTGGCACATCGATGAATTTCATTTCTCGTTTATTTCGTGCGCATCTGCGATACTGAAGCGGGGAGCCGTTGGCTTTGTCCTCAAGTTATGGATTTATATAATTATTTTCAATTTATGTATTTTGATATCATTTATATGATAATCGATATGTCTACCTCTACTATAATTGTGCTGACAAATTGCACGCTCTGCATATGCACTGTACTCAGTGCATATGTAATTTCGCTGAGATCCAAGTCAAAGGTCCCAGCATAAATGGAAGGCCTTGCAAACTCAACACATGCTATGCGTTTTTGCTTTGCATGCGCGATGTCTTGCTTGACAGAGTTGTCATGGCATTATCCAAAATTGATGGCTGAACGGTGCCAGACCGACCACTTGTTGCAGCATTTTTCGTTAAATAAGTGAGTTACCGCGACGGACGGAGGGCTGATGCGGGGCGGTGCCGCTGGCTGAGCGATTGACCCGGCTCACTCGTGGGTTTACCGACCTAGGACGTAAGGTCACTGACTTGCGATGAAAGGTCAACCGACATTCTCCGAAAGGATTTGAGAGACTCCGATCGGACGGCTGATCATCCAACTGGTTGGAGCATTTAGCCCGCAGTGCAATATAATTTGATGGTAAGGATTGGGTTTACCTTTCGAGATGTGAATCAAGCTGAATACTAATCGACACAGCCACTTTCGATGCTTGAACATCTTCTCGAAGTCCTGCCGCAACCCAAGGACATTCCTTTATTGCAGTGGCGCGGGAACCGGGGGGGGGGGCTAGGGGGGGGGGCTGAGCCCCTCCAACTTTTCGGCTGGGGGGGGCTCGTA